CATAACCTTTCCCAAACAAGCAGGCAATTAATGGAAGGTTAAGAAACTGGATGGTGTCAGTGAGGAACACTCAGACTAAGATAAGTAAAGAATGGTCAAAAACGATCGAAGTATTACCTTAAGATTTGAGCATACGTGAAGACATCAAATAGGCAAACAAATTTGTTATTAGAATTTAAAATATCAGTATTCGCCAAAATTAGACTAACTACAACAAATAAGCCAATAGAAGATCAGTACTTCTCTGTTAGGGAGTGATCGGGGAATGGATCTAGTTAATATCCCCATCACAGTACAAAAAACCCACAGAAATCCCGACTTTAGGCATAATTCAATAAATTCATATCAAGATTTTCTTTCAGTATTCACAAAATGCCCAGTTCTAATGAGCTTCATTTGAGTTTGTGCAAAATAATGTCTATCTAAGATATTAAAAATGGCCATGCATCTTCCAACGCCGAATAAGAATTTATGATGGCAATCGATTTTACCTATTGACAAAATCGACTCCTCGTTTAATTCGACACGTCAGCATTGGGTATCAGTCGATCGATTCAAAAGTCGATTTTCAAAGGAAAAACGTTTAAAAAGCAAATTTTATGGTAGAAGAATTAAGCAGTATTAAAATAATGAAATAAAATATCAAAATCAATAGAGAAAATTTCAGCTTTAAAACAAAATTAAGGCGACTACGCACAATGACAATTTTGCTGAACTTGAAGCTACAAGGTAAAATGAGAGCATGCATGAAGAAGTCAGATATAATAAGTGACAAGCACTTGTCATTAATTACAACCGGAATAATGCAGGAACATAGAAAAAAAAACTTGTAAAATTATAGGAAACTATAATGTATAAAGAGAGAGCCCATGACGCAAAGAGACGTACGATAGCCAGTAGGTGTAGGCTAGTTCAGTTTGCATATCAATCAATAAAAAGGGTCAAAATACGCAACAATTACCCCAATAAAAAATTGATTGTTAATCGTAGATACTATAAACAATCAAGATAATTGTTCATTTTTGATAGAAAAAATAACACAGAGAAGTGTTTTTCTCAGGTGAAAAAGTTGAAGCGGCGTCGAGTGGTACGAACTGGTTGTTTATTAGATAAATAATTGTTAGAATTGAGTAACACGAAGCTAATCTTGGAGGCTAATGTTGATGAAACTCGACTTTCTTGAAAGAATGAATTTTGGCTCAAACTCAGTCTGGCTAACCTGTAAATAGGCATTAAAACAGTTCACTGCATTTGTATAAATTTATAGCAAACTTAGAACTCTTCCTTTGACTTACAAAGTAGTGCACTTATATAGATTAGGTTCAAAAGTTGTGCAATGAAACATATTTCGTCAACTAAATAAACGTAATGCAGTAGTCGGTTATTGATTGCTGGCCTAGTAACTCGGCCACTCAGAATTAGTTCCATGCGAGTTAACTCCAAGTGTTGAAATCTCAGTTTTATTTGGAAGGTACAAGGAGACCAAGTTCTAAAATAGAAACCCACTTAACTCATATTCCACCTTGCAAGGATATTTTATAAATTGAAACTCAGATAGAACTTAAGAAGAGGGAGGTGTAGCCTGATTACATGATTAGATAACAACACCAACAGGATAGTGTAACGATAACACATTGCCCTCGCAACTAAAAAGTACTTTATGTGATGAAAATAAATTGACCATCTGATAGCCTATGAAATTTTTCTTTGTGATGTAACTATCACTAATAAAATTTTGCCAAAACCTGAGAAAACACTTCAATCATAGCCAAGTTTGTAAATCGATTGCATTTAAGCTAAAATATTATTTATGGCAAAAGCTAAGTAAGAATCGGTCTTTTATAAACGATTAGTAACATGCTATTGGGTTGGCAACTAAGTCATTGCCGTTTTTGTTGACGGATTCACTCTATACTTTCATTCGTTTTGTTAACGTGGCCAGAGCATCTAACCTAACCTGTATGGGCTTCTAGGCTAATTAGTAAAAAATTTTTTGTTTAGTTCTTTAGTTTTGTTTTTATCCCAAGTTAAAAATGAAAGAACAGGACGTGCACTTCCGACACATTTTATTGTATTACTTCCGAAAAGGCAAGCCTTAAAAGAAAGGCAGTGTCGAAATTGGTTTAAAAGATTTCGTTTCGGTGATTTTTCACTGAAAAATTCACAACGATCTGGCCGCCCAATCGAAGTGACGCAACGGATTAGCATCTGTGATTCGCCGCTACTGAAACGCAATGAGAATGATCCATTTCCGAGGAAGAACCTAGTTACTGGCGACGAAAAGTGGATAGTTTATAACAATGTTACTCGCAAGAGACCATGTGTGAAGCAAGATCAACCAGCCCAAACAGTATGAAAAGCAGAGATTCACCAAAAAAAAGATTATCCTGTCAGTCTGGTGGGATCACAAAGGAATTTTGTATTTTGAACTCATGCCGCAGAACCAAACGATAAATTCAAATGTGTATGTTGAAGAACTCGAAAAACTGAAGGATGCAATTGAAGATAAGTGGCCGGCATTATCAAATCGGAAGGGTGTTATTTTCCATCATGATAACGCAAGGCCCCCCCCCCCCACACATCTTTGGTTACTCGGCAAAAATGATTGGAACTGGGTTGGGATGTTTTGTCACACCCACCATATAGCCCTCACCTTGCGCCTTCGGATTACCATTTGTTTCGTTCCATGCAAAACTCTTTAAATGGTAAAATTGTTAACAACGCGGATGATGTCGGATCACACCTAATTCAGTTTTTTAATAGCAAAGACCAGACATTTTACGAACGGAAAATATTTACTCTGCCAGAAGGATGGAAAAAGTCGATCGACAAGAACGGCCAATATCTAATTGAATAAAGTTATATTTTTAAACAAAATTCCGAATTTGCCTTCTTATTTGAAATCGGCAACGACTTAGTTGCCAACCTAATAAAATAAACTTTCTTCCCTAGTCATTCCCGTAAACGACAAGACATTAAGAATGGGTATCACTAAAATAGGAATGAAAACTGCAGATAACTGGAGTTCAAGGGCAAATACAAGCGCAGATGCCAGAAGAAGAGGCCTAGCCATAAATCGGCGAAAAACTTCTAAGTAGTTCAGAGTAAATTTGTATTCCTCAGTCTCCAGAGCGATGCAGCGACAATTCAGTTTGAATTTGAGACCGTCATCATACTGGTGATATGGAGTAGAATGTACAACGCGACTTTGCCTATGTCGTGGCCAAAATCAGAAATCCGTATGCATGTAATTAATGTCATACTGAAAAGTGGAACAATTTAGCAAATTTCTATTGCTACTTTTACTGCACTTCAAAAATCGAGTAAATAGATAAATAAGCAATAGCAGTCAACTTCCACCTCTTCTTCGGACCTCAACAGACATGCGATTTAAGCACAGAATGGTGGCATTAGAAAACCGTCTTAACGGAAATAGCAAGATGCATACGTGCTGGAAGTAGGTTCACAACTCTGGAGAACTAACTGAAGTACATATCTGCACCAGAGTGGACAAAAGGGGAGACGCAGCCCATGGAGAGATCAGTATGACCGTCGAAGCAAATAGTCGTCTGCTCTCAAAATATGTAATATTTTTATGCTTTTTAGTCCCTACTTCCATCTTTCCATGCATCTTATAGGTTAGTGTCCTTTCGAATAAACGTGCCTTACCTAACTGATGTGCTTCACGTAAAACTTAATTATATATACACGATTTTCTCAAACGAGAACTTTCACCAAATAGGTTGTGAAAAATCTCCGTTTGGATTTATAAACAAAAACATGAGCTGTGAAGGGTTTCTGTCCGGCGTAATCACTGGGTTGTTCATTGAGTTTCTGCAAAGGTCTATTGTAGACAAAAATAGTTAATAAATAGAATTTAATAAAAAAATAAATAAATAAAATGTAAATTAAATCAATAATAGGCATCGCAGAATGCTACCACGAAGAGAGAAAGAATAAAACAAATAACACAATGCACTAGTTACACAAACAGAGAAAAAGCCAGACTTTTCTTTCTTATTTTTTTATTTAATTAAAATTGAACAAGTCGATGCCTGTATAATGGGCCAATTTAGTTTTCTGGAGGGGAAAAATGATACGTACGAAAATATCTAAACAAAAGCGTATAATAGACCGAACATTTTATTGGCAAAATTGTGGGGGGAAGAGGTACAAAAAGGTGCGAGAGAGTATAAAACTAATGAAGAGGAGATTAAATGTACCGAGTAATTCCAATGAGTGTAATCTAAAAAAAGGATACAAAAACATATGGATTAGCTTGAATAAAGCTGGAACTCAGCTCCCAACACAAAGGAATACCTTGAGGAAAAATGCAATTTAAATACGCAATAGACAAAAATACCGAACACTAAAATATTTTCCCTAATGCGATATGATCGTATGATGCTGGAACCCTTAAAAGCTATCTTCTCTGCCCACACTACTTGAAGGACCCGAATTAATAAGCGTGGTTAATCGGTCAGCTCGGTGATTGTGCATCGATGAACACCTATATTGGAACCTCTAGACAGACATTTTGAGAGCAAAAAAAACCTTCCACTGTGAAATATCAGATATTGGAGTTCAACGCTCGCTGATGAGTACACGAACCCAGTAAATTAAGGAAATCTTATTGATAAAAGTACTTTTTTCGGCTCCTAGGTCATCTATTTCCGGGTGTCTGAGTAGTTGTAGATATATATATATATATATTAAATGAGCACAAATCATCTCAAATATACTCTTCTAGCCTAACGGCGTGGAAATCGCAGTTGGTGGTAGGAAGTGCTAATAAGAAATTGCCCAAAATCACTAGTATCTCAAATGGCAGGCCTTATGATATTTATCATTAGTCCCATTGCACAAAATTATAATTATGGCCAAAAGACAAGCAAATTCGCCTTCGACTTAGCAGCATTAAACACAAGTATGCTACTTGCTTTAATCACTTGTACTTTATAAATGCGAGGTCTTACCTAGAAAAAGAGGGGAAAACACGTTCAAGGTCCCCATTGGTGTGGTCGTAGGATCGGTCCACTTCCAAAGTAATTTGGAGGCACCATGAAGGTATTGGGTTGAAGAGTACCACCACCAAATGCAGCGGCCGCCACAGGATTCAATCCCAAAGATGGGTTAGCGGCAGCTAAGGGAGTCCCAGGAGTGCTCAATAAGGGAACCTGTGGTTGCTGTTGTTGTTGTTGCCAGAGAGACGCTGTGGCCGCAGCTAGCCAGGCGTTTTGAGAGGCCTGTATCGCAGCAGCCTGTTGTATTGCAGCTGTGGGATTGATGCTGATAGTAGGGGCGGAACGCAGTTGAGGTGGCAACACCGACTGTGTGGTAGAGTAATTCTGTTGTTGTGGCACTGCTTGCTGTGGTGTGGATGGAGGCTGAGGAAATGGTCTCTCATTCAACCCATACATGTCAGCAAATGCAGCCAGTCTACTACGAGTGGGAGTGGCCGAAGTGGTAGTACCTGTGCCGGCTCTAGGACGATGGCTAAGTAGAGGGGGTTTCTTTGCCTTATTTGCGATACTGGTTGAATCTCCCTCCTGTCTCTTTTCTTGCTGCTTTTCTACCACATCTTGCTCTTGTGTTTTGGCCTTTTGCTCCACTTCCACCTGACGATTAAAGAAGCTATAACCGTCAAATATCTCTGTGGGAGCTGGGGTTGTAGTAGTACTTGTTGAGGTTTGGGTTGTGTATAAAATGGGAGATTGCTGTGGTTGTTTCTGTTGGTTATCCCCTTGAGGTTGATTAGAAGTTGAGGAACCGCTACTAAGAAGAGCATTTAAAGCATCGATCGGAGTGGCCAGAAGACTTTTAACACCTGAAAGGAAAATTGGGAAAAAATTGGAAAGAGCTTCGACTTACGAGTCTGGAGTTTCATTATGGGGCAAATATTTGGGCATTTATTGTTTTACGACCGGGACCCCATGGAGAAGGTTGAACAGGGAAGTGATACTACGAGTTACTGAATTTATCTATTTTACAAGGGGTGTGCGATAGACTTACCTTCACGTGGTGCACTCTGGCACTCTGTATACTCATACAGCAAAAAAGGTCTATTAACCGGCAATTCACTTGACTTCAAACTACCATGACCCCATTGTATGCCATATTCGACCACTTCTACAGTACTTATCTTACCTTTTCTCTGCCTTTGTGTCTGTCTGCCTCTTTTACATCTGTGAATAATTATTCTGTCCCCCCCCCTCTCGACTTTTGTCACTTTGATGTCCCTCCTCTCTATAAAGCCAGAAGTTAGCTAAAGGGCTGATGATAACTATCAAAACACCTGCCATTTGAAATAAATTTATTTTACAATAACCACGTAGACACTTGTAAGTTGCTGCTCTTTAAGATCATTACTTTCATCGGGAGACATCTCAAAGCCATACTCGGTGGTAATACTAATGTGAATTAGTGTAGCTTCAGAAGTATTAATAAATCCTGTTGAAGATTACCTACTTAACAATAATATCAAGATATTGACATATCTCTAGCGGGAAATATACTTACCATCAAGTTTATCGACCTTTGGAAGTTTAGGAGGCGAACTCTCACTGCCGTCCTTGGCAGGTTCTGAAGTACCTTCCCCCTTTGAAGATATTGTCATCATGGTGGGAAGAGTGGATATGAATGGAGGCTGTTGTAAAAGAGTACGCGACGGCGTTTTCGCCGCTGTTGTTGACGTCGGCTGAGTTGGAGCTGGTTTTGGAGGCGAAAGCAAGGGGGGCTTGAATTCACCTAAGAGAACTCTGACTGCACGTGTAACAATATCGGATGCACTTTCGCCATTGGTGGATGCAGGAGGATTGATGGAGCTTACATCATTTTGAGTTGTTGTTGCGGTGGCAAGTTTAGGTGGATTGGGAAGAAGAGGAGATGAGGTTCTGCAAGTTTAAAGTAAGACTTAGCTATAAAAAGAAACTAATAATTTGATTTGAATAAGTAAGATTAGTTCCAGGGTCTCTAGGCCTTGATGGCCTCATCATGCATGTCTATGAGACTTGTAATTTATTAAACATGGTTTTTTTAAGAACCTCATCAAGTTTTAAAAAGCGCTTGCCAAGACAACATCGGCACCAGGAGCACTCTAAAAGCACCCAACCAAACTCCCGTACCGCAGGAGACCAAAGCACTCATTGTGACAAGATGATCGCTTCTCTTCACTAAGTACCATTTAATGTTTCTCGGTCTACTTTTCAAACTCTTAAAACCGTTACGCCCTTTCATTTTAACTAGCTTTACCTAATAGTAATACTTTAATAAGCACCTATTGAGACAGCGCTTCTGGCACGCTGTGGGAATTAGTAATTACTTAGAAACCGTCATAACTCCACAGTGTGGTCATTTATGCTATATCTCTATTCCATTAACTCTCCTGGACTTCATCTAATTACAAAAAACATACGTTAAACTCATAAAGATACAAAGCAATACTTGGCAAATCTCATTCCTATTGGAGGGACAGCGACGGAAGCAAAAAATGCTCAAACAAGAAAGTAATCTTGGCAACAATTCATTCAATTGGTATCCACCCTCAAACCCATGTCCATTTGTCATAGCAAAATCTAATGTTGCAACATAGTGAATTGTCCACTTGATATAAAATCTGGTTATTCTGAGAAATAAAATTGCATGCAAAAAAGTTCTCCTTACGTGGATTTGGGCTGGGAGGTAAAGTGAAATTGAAGGTGGTTAGTCTTTCGTTGAGCCTTTTCCACGCACTTAAGAGCCCATTGAACCTCGTGCTGAAAACTTTCTGCCAGCTGAGAGTCAGTGGGTGGAAATTTCGTCTCAGAAGAGGATTCCCGGGACTTAATTGAGTCCTCCCTTTGCACATTCAATAGACCTTCGTTCGTTATTTCATCACTGGAAATAAAAAAGAGGTTAGCACCGTTTATATGAGAAATTTAGACTACTAAACCAGAGTGGGATATAAAAGAGCTAATGCGTTTAAATAATCATAGTGGTAAGAAACGATGCATTGTTCAGTGCTTCAATAATTAAGTAGATTTGCTTACATGCCTTCGTTGATACTGCCACCAACATTACAAAGTTATAGTAAATTATAATCTCGCATGCAAAAAAACTTTCGATTTTGTTCAAAAGTCTAGAGGATTGAATCAAACTTTTGTAATAACAGTACTAAAAATTGATATGAAAGAGGAAATTAGAGCAAATTCCTGCTTGTGATTTCAAGCCTATTTAGGAGAGCGCCTTCAACAATCGTCTTAGATAGGATAGCATATCATGAAGCCTCCTTAATAGGAGAATCGATTTTTGCCCACCTCTATAATATACGCTTACTTAACCAATGGGATTGGTCAATCAGATCATAGGATGTGCGCCGATAGGAACGTAATTCGTAACCACCCATGTGGAAGACGTATTCAGTGACCGATCCACCACCAATATAAGTGTTTTTTTCATAATTATAAGTGTCTACAAACACCACTCAAAGCTACATATTATACTTAGGTTGCAAGTCATACGATTTTTAAACTCCGAAAACAAACAACAGGAACATTATATCATGATACTGCTCTGAATAATCAAATGGTGAGTACGCAATTCTTAACAAGTAATAATTATAGTAAAGGACATAACAAACTAACATAAATTCCGACGAAACTTCATCACATTTAGATTCTTTCTCCTCAACGCTTATAGCTGGCAGTTGTGGCCTTTCACTCACAAAGCCCACTTCGAAATCCGGTAAATAAACTTGAATCGACGATGTTGCATCTCCAGGCTGACTCTCCAACCCAGAGGTAAAGAAGCTAGGTAATTCGTGACTACTTTCCTCTTCATCTTCGTCAGATGATTGAGAGGGGGAGAAAATTACACCCCTCCCACAACGAGTGCCAGTTTCGAGTTGATCATTCTGTTTCGAATATGGTGGTAGATAAGAATTCTCATCTTCTTGACTACCATCATCATCTACAGCGTCAACGTAGGAGGACGTAGAAGAACAGTCCAGCATCTCACCTTCTTCAATATCTTCATTTTCAAATCTATCTGATAAGATCTTATCAGTTATTTTCGAATCGACCGCAGGTGAAGACGGGATTGCCAAAGGCTTCGTCTCTTCATCCTTTTCGGGTATTTTAACTTTAGATTCAGGAGCTCCAAGACCTGAAGTAAGCAAGGGATCTGATGGCTTTTCACTACCGTCCTTTTCTTTGTCTTTTTCTTGAACTGCTGTTAAGGAATGCTTTAACTTTCGGAGATTTGTTCTGGGAGGTCCCTCGCGAGTCTTGAAAGAGGCTGAATGGTATAATAAACAAGGATTTAGTTCAGAGTGGAAAAAACCTACTTCAATTCCAATGCTGCCAACAAGAAAAAAAATGCGGTTATCATAATGCCTCTGTATTATGCACGGAATGAAGTTACACAAGAATTAAGCTACTTCATGTTGATTACATGTTAAGTCCATCGAATAAATGTAAACTCCATGGAGATCTCGTCATGACATCGTCCTGATGAAGAGCCAGAATTCTGTTAACTTTCTTCATTTTGTTATCTAGGCCTAACCAGAGCAATTGATAATTTTGCTCACATGGTATGTACAATTGGCATGGAATTCTAGTGACCACATTACTTTGCGATACAGGCACACGCATTCGAAGAGACATACACAACCCGCCCCCCCCCCTTTAGTATAACTTGTGCCGGGTATGAAGACAAAACAATTTCGACTTACAATTCTCCTTCTCCATCATGATGCTGAGACGTTTACGACCTTCGCTCGACTCAATCTGCTGAGCATAAGAAGCCAAACGCCGTTTCTTCACCAAAGCACAACTCTTATCTAGTTTAATTAAATGGAAGAGGGGAGGATAGTGGTACTTCTAAAAGGAGAAAGTCTACATTAGTCCAATGAATTGGCTGATAATCAATGCAAGTTACAAGGATCAATAGGAAGTTACTAGGTAAGTCATTCGGTGTTTTCGACTGCAAACGTGTTGGATAACAGCCGAGGGAAGAAATGCACGCTTATTACATAGATCACAAACGTAAATGCAATCGAGAAGATTCCTGCGTTGGAACTCAATGACGTAATTGAGACCGATCAGAGGTTGGATGCAAATATCCAAGAGGTGCTGAAGTCGCAGTCGAACTTTCGGGTTTGGACGAGAAATGTCTACAAACGACTTATTTTGAGGTAGGCTCAAGGGTTCCAAAGGGAGTAACGGGTTCTAAATAGAAAAATAGAGTTAATTGGAGGAGTCTTAACTAATTACAGGGCAAATATACCACTGAATCAGGATTTGCTTACAAATAGCAAAAAAACTGATAGATTGATCTACTGAAAAATTACCAAAATTAGAAGTAAGTCCCATTTCAGATTTAATACACACTTTATAACAAGAAATGCCCTGCTTATTGCCTACCGGGGTGTGCGATAGACGTACCTCCAAGTGGTACACCCTGGGCAACGTATACTCATACGGCAAAAAATGTCTATAAACCGGCAGTTGGCTTCTCACTTTAAACTACCATCACCCACTGTATGTCACATTCCACCACTTCTACAGTACTTATCTTACCTTTTCTCTGCCTTTGTGTCTGTCTGTCTCCTTCACATATTTGAAACTTTGATGTTTCTTCCCCCCCCCCCCTGTGAAGCCTGAAGTCAGCTAAAGGGCTGATGATGACTATTAAAATGCCTGTCATTTGATATAAATAACTTATTGCCTACCTTCGATAAATAAGGTCAGACATTCTGAGTATGAGAGAAACGATGTCAAAAGACTGTTTGTAGGAAACGTTGCCACAAGAAACACTAAAGTGTAAAAAAAAAATACTAGTACTCGAGGAAGGTGAAACCGGAGAAAATAAAGATTTAAAGTGAAAGAAAAAAGAACAGCAAAGAAAGTGCACTTTTGGCGATGAAAGATACACATATATTTATGGAAAAGGGGTCCTTCATTTTCAGCATTAGTAAGAGCAGTTCAAGGTCTAGCATCAACGTTCTGAGAATGATGTCTAAACATTAAATGCTCATTAATACGGCAATAATTTGCGTACACAAAAATAGTAAAAAATGATAGAAGTGATTGAAGACCTTGACAATAGTCAAATCCGGAATAATCGGGATCATCAAGGAATGATAAATGTTGACGTTTAAGACGGAAGGCACCATAAATACCCCTCACAAAGCTACTAGAAAGCGTCATCAAGTTTGCGTTACATTGTGATCTATCTATTGTTTTATCGTTAGGTAAATTAGAATAGAGAAAGCGCATCCTAAATACAATTAGACCACTGCTATCAAGTATTCAAGCAGAAAAAAATGTTTTAAGCATAATTCAGACGAACCCCCCTCCCGGACAAAAAACAGTAAAATGAAAAAAAAACAAATATTTGAGAAAGGTTATTGACTTCTAGTAAGAAATCTACCAACAGCATGAAGGAGTACCAAGCTGTCAGAAGCGGAGTGCATCTCAAAGACAATCTGCAGAAACGCTCATACTGAGGTAGAATATGAACTGTGCAGTTTTAAGCTTTGTTTCATCAGCTTCCAATACGATGACGAATAAAAAGGAAACCCTTCAGTAATAGTAAACTTGTCATGTTCGTTGTAATCCAAATATTATTGAAGCTCACCTTTGTCTGCGTAATTTGAGGAGGTGGAATGTCCAGGACAGCACTCACATTTTGAGTGATGGTTTTTGTGAGGGCATTCTGAATGTGCACAACAGCCCGAAGATGGATATCGAAAGCTCTCTGATCGGGGAGGTAAAGATCGCAATCCTCACACCAAACTCGAGCATCCGTTGGTGGGGGAATGGACATCAGGGGAAAGGGATTTTTAATGGGTGGAGGAGGTGCTTGTTGGGGATCGGATGTGGTTGTCGGTGGAGGCTTGGAAAGATCTAAACAGAAATCAATAATTGTTATCTAAGAAGGTTTAACAAACCCATTAGAGTGAAATTTATTGACCCTTTCTATCCTAAAATCACACTAGTTCCAATAATATAGCGATATCAAAGATCAATCATTTAAATTAAATAGTAGTTCAATATGCATCGGATCCCGATAACATAAAGTTATTCAATAAAATGGAAAGATTTTTGAAGTTTATTAACGAGAAGACTAGAACATGGAAAGCTTGAAAGGTAGCAAACGTGGAGTTATATCTAAATTTTAAAAGAATTGTCAAGACCTTGAATCTAATACTTGTTTCTACTTGATAACAGGACATTTAACTTGAAGGTCGCATAGATGATAATAATTAGAAGACGGGGTTACATAATCAGTACATGAAAGATATCCGAGAGGCTTCTCTTTAGTTTGAAACAGTTAGTTTTGGTTCCACAGTTAGTTCCATGGAAAAATTTTCTCTTCATTTCACTGAGTAGCCTTGAATATGGAAACACTACGAAAATGCACATTCAGGAGTCAAAAAAATAAATAAATGGTTGCATGACCAGTTATCATATTCACACCACTAGTACTAGCTTAGATTGAGTTGACAGGACTGAGTAAAAGTGATTATTCCAAGAAATAAGATTAATGTTGGGGATAGCGCTATTTTTAGACAGCATTATCACTTACCAAAAGCGGGAGTATGGTCACCAGTAAGAGATTTAGATTCTAAGAACTTTTTGTACATTACATTCCAATCGATGCCCAAGTTCCTGCTGCATTCACAGAAGCATTCATACCAGGTCGGATGAAGTCGAGAAATCCAACTAAGATAGTTATTCCAGCTGGCCCAATCGAATTCGCGAGAACCACGTTGATGGAAGTATCCTTTCATAACAGCTTCTGCATGACTCCATGGATCATTATCTTGAGGTAGACCACTCTAAATAATAAATTTACAGATGCGATGCTAAGAATGTTAGAAAAAAAAACAAAAAGTTGTTTTAAGTTTAAAAATTACCGGGATACCGTTTGGTGGAGCTGTTTGAAATTGATTTGGCTTGGATGAATTACTACTTTCCACAGCATCAATACGACTTTTCAAGTAATTCATTACTTTTACATAGTACTCTTTATAATAGGCGGCAGTTGATGGATATGACAATGAACGTCCATTTTCAGGGGGATTTATTGGTTGCGACGGGACAGCAATAGGAGCACTCTGCAACGAGGAAATTGATGAGCAATGGTGCATGGGAATGTTTACAGAATTTGAAGCAACTGGTAGTAAAGTAGGTTGATGAGGGACAAAGCTGGAATTCAGGCTGCTCAATGAGGTTTGGGCAGCAAGAGGAACAGGAAGACCTGCAGAAGCTGATTGATTCAGAGATTGCGGTGAGATATTTTTATTGAGAGACATTACATCAGAAGAAGTAAGTTTGATACCTTACACATGCAATTGACTTACTTATAAATGGCGCGCCTTTTTAAAGTTTGCTTGCAAAATTAAATTTCTTTCCTAGATTCGAAATTTTTATTTAATTTAAAATTAAAAAATAATATTAACTTTTGCTTTTATTTTGTTTGTTTAAGTTAGTTTTATACTTACGAGGTCGTTCAGTTTTCAATTGATTATCTCTTTTGTCAGTCGTGGATATGTATCCTAATCGGCCTCCGGTAATTATTAATTTTTTTACTTAATGTTACATTTCGTTAAATTATTTAATAATTGCTTGTTTTTCTGCCATAGGTGCCTTCTGGGCCCGGTCAACCTTATAAGTTTACTGTTCTTGAAACTTGTGATCGTATTAAAGAGGAGTTCAATTATGTTCAACAGCAATGTCATCAGTATGTGTGGAGTTTACGCATTATTTCGCTTTAGGCTTCAATCTGAAAGGGAAAAACTAGTGAGCGAGCGTGTTGATATGCAGCGAATATGTGTAGTATATTACGAAATGGCAAATGGATTGAACTTGGAAATGCATCGTCAAATGGAAATCTCAAAACGCCTTAATGCCATCCTCAATCAAGTCATTCCTTTTCTAGCTGCTGAGGTTTGATTTTTTTATGTAATTTAAGCGCTTTTTCAGCATCAGTCACAAGTCGCATCTGCAATTGACAGAGCCAAACAGGTTACTATGCAGGAATTGAATTCAGTTCTAACAGTGAGTTTGCTTGTTTGTCTTGTTCTATATGATACACAATATTCCACTAGGCTCAAATGGAAGATACGAAGCTTTCAAAATTTGCCAATGGTGGAAATATGGGGATTTCAAATGATCAATTAGAAATTTATAAGGTAGTTTTTTGTCGCCGTGTATTCTTCATCTTCTTTTTTGCATATTTTTAGCAAATGCAAGCCCATCAAGGTGGTAGTCCCACAGCAGGCTTACCTGGTGCATCGGCAGGAAATCAAAGTAGCTCCCATGGAAATAATCCTACTCCATCATCGTCAGCTTTCCCTGGCTTACCAGCTAGTATGACAGCGGGACTTCAAAGCGCATTTTTGAATGGATTAATGTCTGCCGCTGGTGGTGGTATGATGCCTCCTCCTGGTTCAGCTGGTCTCCCTCTTGGCAATAGAGATATCAAGGATTATTCAAATGATGATAAACAGGTTCGTTTTGTACTCGCCTATTAGATACTCATCGCCTTCCTTATTCTCATTTTTTGTATGCGCGTTTTTTCTTTAGCGTGCTCTCGCGGCCGCTGCGAACTCACTTTTACGTGGTCAGCCCAATATCCCTGGATCACCCTTTCTACCGGGTGGTTCAGGCCCTGGTGGAATGAACTTCCCCGAAGGATTTTTCGGTGCCGCTGCAGCTGCCCAAGCAGCAGCCGCAAGTATAACAACGACGTCCCCAAGTCGTACTGGCGGTAGTGTAAGAAATTCGACTACTTCATCTTCAAATCTCCTTCCTCCACCTCCCCCTCCGTCTCAAACACCCTCGTCTATTACCCCTCCCGATGAGAAGAGACGCAAGTTGATGCAAGATCCCAAATTAGTAAATAGTTTCTTTCATTCTTTATTTGGCTCTAATGGTAGCACTCATATCTGATTGTGTGACTACTAGTTTCACAAGACAAAAAACAAACAGAACAAAATTTCCATTGGTCGCTCGCTCTCATCTTCCTTTATTATTAGCTCTCCTTGATGTATATTTATCTCCTCCTCCCTACTCCTTTCCACCTTTTTTGGTTAACTCAATTATATTCTTCGTGTTGTTTTTCTTATTATTCGTTCTTAAATTCTTATTCTTGTGGTGTGGTTAGGGGACGATTGGAAATCAAAAGCATGTAATTTGAGAGCGAGCGATCCATGAGAGGTGTTTTGAGTTGTTAATAGCCCATTCTCCAAATTGTTAGAAATTTCAATTCTAGCGATGGGTAGGCCTTGCTCTTCCTCATTCAATTAGTTAGTGCTATTTTCCTCTTTGTTCTTTCCTGATCGTTCAATTTTTCCTCTCAACTTGTTAGGAGAATCGAGAGAATGGTGGATACCGTAGTGCGGACGATATGGTTAGTTTCTTTCACATTTTACTCCAAGACCCTCTAATCTGTATTTATACTATTTTTTCGTTTTGAAGGAAAAATCCGGCAACTCTGCAGCTACCAACCCAAACCGTCGCCCTGGAACAAGACAGCCGCTTAGTAAGTTCTTCACCTGTTTCCTCGTCATATTTCTCATTTTGTTTGTGATTCATTTTGTCTTAAAACTGTGCTTGCTCTATGTAATTTTCAATTAATTACGTTTTTCTTTTAGATCTCAGCCCCCAGATGTCTAACTCAATGGGGAGCAATTATCCCACCACAAACAGCGCTCCCGCCTTTGGTTCTCCTCAAAATCGATCTACTTTTGTAAGTTCCATCACACCTCCCTCTTGTCTTTGTTTCACTTCATATTTTCACTTTTGTGGTCTCCTTTTAGCCTGAAAACCGGTCCAAATATAAGGGGTAAGTCGTCGTTTGCTTTTGTGGGTATACGCCGGTTGAAAATCAGGAGTGTCCTAGTTTGAGAGGGAGTCTAACTTAAACTTTGTGTGCATCGGCTGTGTTTCTTTGTATGTGTGTGTGAGAACCTAGTTACCGGCCTACCATGGTTGGTGTATGTCTGATTAGGATTTATCGCGATAACCCACTTATTTGACTCCTCTTTTTCGACCTAGACAACCGTCTGGCCCTGGTGCATATTCTTCTGTGGTTTTGCCAAACGGAGCAGGGACTCGTCCCTGTGTTCTTGCAGCTGCCCCAGAAGCCATTTCAGATCCTAGTCTACCACGTCGCCTGCAGCATGTTGCTAGTCTACCTCATGGAGAGGTAGTTTGTGCTGTTACTATCGCCCCAGCACCTGCAGGCCATAGTTCATCCGCCTCGGGGGAGACTGCTGCTCCAGGAACACCTAAACCGGAACCTGTTGATGGCGAAGCTATTAATCCTGCTAATTCGGAGGGCAGTCCTAATGCTGCTGTTAGCATTACATCCCGTGTTCCACACTTTGCTTACACCGGTGGACGCGGATGTGTCAAACTGTGGGATCTTGATACTATCACTTCCTCCTCAGTTAAAGATATCACTCCACTGGCGTCTTTTGATTGTCTTCGTCCGGAGAGCTATGTGCGATCTATCAAACTTTTCCCGGTAAGTTTTATGGCTTTTGATATGGATTTGACCTTAAATGAAATCGTTACCTTAATTGCTTACGAATCTCTCTGACCTTAAATATGAAGTTCTCATGTGTATGTAAATTCTTGCTTTAGCCAAACAAGATGTCACGTAACTGTCATTATATTAGGGGCTTTATGCCACGTAGATTATATATCTATATTTATTTATATCAAATGGCAGGCATTTTGATAGTTTCATTAGCCCTTTTGTTGACTTCAGGCTTCACGGATTGGAAGGAACATCAAAATGAAAAAACGGTCGAGATGGGGTGGGGGGGGGGGGGGGGGGGGGGGGGGGGGGGAACGGAAGAGTGTTTCAAAGACGAAGGTAGAAAAAATGTGTTGTGAGTACTGCGGATGTAGTCGAATTTGACGTACAGTGGGGTGATGGTAGGCTGAATTCAGAAGTCAACTGCCGGTTATTAGACTTTTTGCCTTGAGTATACGTTGCCCAGAGTGCACCACGTGGAGGTGAGTCTATCGCGCACTCCATATATATATATACATATTTAATATAATGGTGCGTGTCTGTCAAATGTCATGAAGAGGTGTTACCTATATATGGTCATTAACTGATTCACGAGTTATAGATAAGTTTGTTCTGTAACCAAGTCACTAAAATAGCATGAACTTTAATAAGGATCGGCGACGCATGAACTTGGTGCAGGCCAGCTGCATTTCATTTCCCTAAATAAATTGCTTTTGATTTAAATCAATATCTAAGTTTGATACCCTCTATTTAATGAGATGGTTTTTGTTGCTTAAAGGTTTGTTGTCGATTTTTTTTCTCATAATTTCATTATTTGGTCGATTCCCACTCCAATTGTTAGCCTTTATCGACTGTTCTCATAAAGTGCTGAGGCTTGATCTCATATTCACGAACTGTTTGGAGATATAGAAAAGCTTGAATGCTAATTGCTGTCTATCTTTGATTATGCAAAGCGTTAGCTACACTACATGTGAGTATTGAAGGAAGGTATCTTCTCGCCACTTTTGAGTAATTCATGTTCTATCACTCTTGTTGGTCTCAATGAACCAGCACGATTGGGTATTGCTTGACCACTGATTCTGTACATTAATGCATATATATATATTCTTCACTTCCCCCTCCTCTTGCAGGACTGTTCCACACTTCTCATTGGAGGTGAATCGAGTTGCCTCTCAATCTGGGATTTGAATGGATCTGGTAGGCGAAAGAAGGATTTGACTTTTGATGCTCCTGCCTGCTATGCACTCGCTCTCTCGCCTGACTGCAGACTTTGCTACAGGTATGTACTGCAAAATTTCCTTTTCTCTATTTTTAATGCCTATTTGCTTTATATGCGAGTGGGGGATCATAGATTAATTTAGTTGTGTGTAACTAATCAGACGGGGGTGATTTATAGTTTTTAATGTTGCATTTTTTAGAAACGTCAGATTTCGCCGATTAAATTTCTGAAATTATGAGTGAAATCAGGTTAAATGTTATATTTTCATTAAACTACTGTCCTAATACCCCGTTGGTGGGGCCTATGGTCAGTCCGTTTGATCACCGAATGTGCATTAACCTTTCGATTTTAGAATTAGCAACGCTATTACACCGTTAACCTAGCCATTTAGCCTAATAAAGTCTCCAATGTTGATAAGTGACTGCTAAGAGCCAATGAAAACTCTCTCTTAGCCTTTGCGACTATTTAGAGAAGTACTTATAATTAATGTCAGACAATTTAACCATTTCGCTTAACTGCTTTGATAATGAGATTCAAAAATGTGGTATTTAACTCCCGGTTTAGTATTGACTAACTAGATGACTGACTGTGTTTAGCAAGAACCACATATTTACCTTAATTAATATTCATTCGCTGTGGCTTGTCTTGTCATGCTGTGTGTCTCAATTCACTTTTTTTCTTAGCCAACATCCATTTTACGGTCGTTAAGCGAAAGAGTGCGGCATTGATAGAATTTGAGCAGTGAAATCAGGTCTAGATAATTATTATTTAATTTACTCTTTGAAAGGAAAAGTCTTTCTGGAAATATCACTAAAGGTATATTTGCTTAATGGGCTCCTCAAATTTAAAATGGCAAAAACTCCAACGTCTTATCTCATTAAGCGGTTATTGTAAATCGTGTGTTAATTGCTTTTAAAGTCATAAAGATGTGGGCTAGGTGCTGTTAATGTAATTTCCCAATCGAAATACTGCCTCATACAATTTATATTTATACTTCTTCTTTTACATTCATGAAGTGCTCTCCCTTACTTTCATTGGATATGGTACCAGAGACCATATTTACTTTTTTAAATCAGTTTAATTTACTTACATTTTATAACCTGTGGGTGCATTGGTTATGACTAGAAAGGCCTTCCACATATTAATTATTACTGTCTGTGTTTGTTGACAATCAGGAAAACTCCTTACCTTTCTAAGGTTTAGTCATCTTTGACACTGCTTTTCATTGGCCAATTAAAACAAAAAGAAAGCAGGGATTGATTCGTTCATACGTTGTATAAAATTGATTTTCCCTGACAAATGTTATTGGTTGGAGGAATTTGGCAGAAATTATGTGCAAATCAACCCAATCAAATTTTCTTCATAAGCTTTTTAATCTTTGTGTAATAACCGTGTATTCAGGCTCGTATTTTCATAGAGGCTATTCAAGACTAGATTTTTCTACGCTTAGCTTTTTTACCTCACGCGCGTTTCTTCAACGTGAGGCCTCTACTATAGGCAATAGGCTACTAGTTTGCTTCTTCGTTCTTTCTAGACGGGAGATTTATTGGATTTCTTTCTGTGTCCTATTTTAGTTGCTGTTCTGATGGACAGGTGGCAATTTGGGATATTCACAATCAGAACATTGTTCATCAGTTCCATGCACATGAAGACGGTGCTTCTTGCATCCAATTGGCCGCACAAGGCACTCGACTCTGGACGGGTGGACTTGACAATAAAGTCCGCTGCTGGGATATTCGTGGAACGGTGAGTCTGGTGCCACTTTCTCGTACAGTGATCTAGATTTAAAAGCTTGATGTTTTAGGGCGCCTTCAATATTGTATGGGCATTTAGTTTTTCCCCTCATTATGGCTTAATAATGCCTCTTTCACGAACATGCTTCTAATTTTTTAATAGTTGAGGCTTGAAGGTCTGCTTGTCGCCCGTCCCTAAGACGAAGTTCTGTAACTTCTTGAAAGCTGTGCTTAAAATTCCCGAGAGGGGATACGTCATGACTGGATCATATTATATTAATTACTACCGCTTACGTAGGCAAAGTAGAAATGTTTGATGACGTCAATGGAAAGTCATTTATATTGGAACCACCATATCCCAAAAAGAGTTTATCATGTGGTGTGTTACAGTGAGAGCTCGAATACCTCAAGTCCTAATCACTTTGAAAAGAAGCTTTCTTTAACATTGCATTCCGGAGATCTAATTATATGCTTCCTTTGGTTAGTATTGGTCAAGGGTATGCATCGATTGGAATTGAGGTTTAGCTTTTTGTCCTCTATTCACAAATAGAAGATATAATTTTATTGTTTAACATATATGGGGTAATAAAATGCGAAATGGTTTAGGCACTTACAATGTTCTAAACATAGTTAGTACTTTTCATTTGTGTCAGTGGTACATTGGTTGCTGTGAACGTGTGTCATGTCGGAGGTCATACACTCAGTATTAAACCTGGGCGTGGATCTCTCGCTACTGAGAGTGGTAGAATTCATGTTTCTCACCAAGTACTCTTTCTGATGTTTCCCACTTACTCAAGATAAGAGTTGGATAATGCATTCCTAAACCATCACAATTAGGATTAGATTCCAAAAATTTGTTATAATGGTTTCATGTTTCATCTGTTGTATAAAGTATAAGCAAGCAAAAGCCATTCAGTCTTCATTAATTTATATGAGATTGTATCATTCTTGTAGGGAATGCGTTTTACAAGTTATTACTTAGAATGCTCACGGGTTTCAGAGTCTTCATTTTATTTCTTGGTTTGGTTTGTTCACTATTGTCTTAATGTGCTGTTTAACTTTCAAAATTCAAATTTCATGGTTCGTTCCCTTAGTTGCTGTAAGTGCTTGTCTACGATAATCAGTAATTATTGCCAACTTTAATCTTGGAGGGTCGGTGTTTTCCATTTCTGTTCGCCTTTTTTCTTCCCACGCTTGAGGAGGCAAAAAATATCTCACATTGTATTCCATAATAAACTGTCTTTAATTAGCAATTGCTTCCCCATAGAGATCACATCAGAAGTCATTGATTTCGCTAGCTAAATGCGTTCAGTTCGCTTTTCGTTTCTTTCGCAGTGTTTATTCTATATCACATTTTTGTGGGTCCAGATCATCTTAATATATCACTGCATGAAATTAGTCAATTCTTGACTGTCGGCTTGTGCTAATAGCATGTTCAAACATTCTTAAACAGTGTTATAGTGTTGCTGCGCTTTTCTATTGTTCATGAGTGGTCTTTTTCTTTATCTTTCTAGTCCTCGAGCGAATTGCATTGTGTGGAATTCAAGTCTCAAGTCTTCTCTCTTGGCTTATCTCCAATCTTCGGGTCACACGGTCGTCGGGCCAGTATTGCAGCCATATCTCCTACTAGAGGTGATGAAGGCTCCTCCATAGATGCTGCGTTCCAAGGCACTCAGTGGCTTGCAGTCGGCCTGGAGTCTTCTGAAGTTGAAGTCGTGGCTATTGGTCCTGATGGTCCGGCTTCACCTATGAATTCCGGAAGCAACAACGGAGCTGGAAATTCGTCTTTAACCGGAAGTCCATCACACAGCCCTGTTATTAACACTTACGACAACCATTTCCGTCTCACTCGACACGACAGTTGCGTTCTGGCTCTGCGTTTCGCCCATCATGCGGATTGGTTCCTGACAACAGGCAAGGATCATCAAGTCAATGCTTGGAAGACTCCCTATGGAGCTAATCTATTAGATACCAGAGAAGCTGCCTCTGTGTTAACCTGCGACATCTCCCCAGATGACAAATTTGTCGTCACAGGCTCGGGAAATAGAATTGCAAACCTCTATGAGATTATCTATGGTGAGGGGTCAATTGTATCAACAGGATCTTCTCACTAGATGCTCCCACTCCCATTACAGGGCACTCATTTAATCCCTCTTATGCCGTAAATTCGCTAAATCATATTCTTCTTTTCCTACTCCCTTTCCTTCTGTCATTCCGTTATGTTGCATTTACTCCTCTTTTTCTTCTGTTAAGTGTGTAAATTGTCTCCTCCACATATTGTACATTATTTGCTCCCCCACCCATTCAGACCTCATCGTATATATTTATCGATTAGCTTATCTCCCTACCTTCGCATTGCGTTTTGTAAATAAGTAGTATACGTCCCTTCCGCTCACCCTCCGGTAAAGGATACAAACAGCTTGTTGTCTCCGCTTATATCGATTTTCTTTGACGCGCATTTGAACTCATTTGACAGCAACAACAAGAGTAAGAAGGAATGATTCTGTTCAAAATTCCCATTGGAAGTCATTACCCTGGATCTGCGTGAATACAATCGATCTCCTCTGAGGAAACACGCCAACACATCCTTGTTGCTGCGGCTGCAAAATTGCTGTCTCTTGTTCACAAGGTAATGCAAGCTCTCTCCTCATTTGTCATTGTTATTGTTTCCTCATTATCATCTGGTCTTGAGTAGCACAACAGTACTTATGATATTACACTACCCCTCTTCGCTCCTCACTCGAACCCACTCTATTCGACGTAAATAATTGTGTAATCTTCTCTTATTCCCACTATATATATATATGCATATATATATATATATATATATATATATATAGACAGGTTATTGAATATCTTCCTCTCCCCTCCCTGCATTAAAATCAATCAGTCGCACCGTTTAACTGTCCCTCCTTCCTATATCACGCAGACATTCTTTCTCTCTCCCCTGTGCATTCGATTGTATAACCAAGAAATTTTACCTTGGTACAGGGTCTTTTTATGGGCTTAATTTCTCTTTCACTTTGGTTTGAGTGGGCGGGGGTTGGGGGGTTGATATCATGAATAAATTGGATAATTTTTTAGTTTTATTTATAATTAAACTTGTTGCCTTATGTTTCGAAGACCATAATAGGTCTGACAATGTCATAACTCCCTTTTAATTATTTGTGTGAGCTAGTTAACTGCCTCGAGTGTTTTGTGACCCTACTTAAAAGCATTGCTCTCCCTAGCCAGCACGGTAGCTCTTTGAAAAAAGAGCATGAAGGGGTTTTTTCAAGCCTATAAAAGGCCTGTTGTGTGCTAGGCAATTTCTTTTAACCCACTCGCCCGATACTTCATTGGCTATCTTAGTGGGTCTTTTTTTCATTCGTTTTTTTTGCTCTTTTAACAAACGGTATATGGTGAATTTTTGTCGTGCATGAAGAGAATATTGGCATTAGGCTAGGTGAGCGAGTGATAAAAAAAGCTATGGTAGATTTGGATTTCCCTGCTTTCTTGCTTAGTCACGTTCTAAATACTGTTGCTTCTCATGGAAATTTGATTGCGTATGATTCATGCACATGAAGTGTGGACAGTGAAAAATTTGTGTTTTTAGCTAATGATCGATCATTCATCTGTTTATAACTAAGTCTGCGAAATGTCATTTCTTATCACATTCTCCCATATTTTGATAAGAAAAGGAGCAGTAAAAAGTGGTTTGTGTGTGTGTGCACGCATCTTTATGGACGCTTTTTTTCCATGCAATTGTACATAAGAGAAGAGATAAAATCTTGTATAAGGGTGAAGAATTTTTTCAAATGGCAGTCAATGTTAATTTAGTTGACTGTCTCCGCCCCCTTCTTTTAGCTGTCTGATTTTGTAGTAGTAGAATGTGTAAGGCTCTAAATCGGCATAATTAACACAAAATTAGAAATTCCGATTTAATTTTTTGCATGATGAAAAATTTACTTAAAGTGTCGTTTTTTTCTAGCCGTCAGCGAAAATTCGCTTGAGAGAGCCAATTTACATGGCAAGTGTGACTACTAATCTGCATAAGTAAATAAACCCCAAGTTCGAAAACGATCTACAAGAAAATCGATATTTAACTGAGATGAAATTGTATGTTGGATGCTCTACCCTAATCTACTTAAAGTTCCATTCAATGGAAAGTTTTTCTTAATTACTTTTGTCTAATTGGAATAAAAGTACTTAAGTACGTGAGTAGAATCGCTTACTGAAGCAGACTTTTTATAAATAAGGTCAAAAAGAAGTTCTTTGTGATAGACATTTAGAAAAAGTAAAAAAAATTGCTATTGAAGCATAAACTATCTTTTCTATCAAAAACTCAAGTATTCTCATAAATTCTACCAACCATTCAATGCTACATTTTTTTAATAAATGGAGGTAAATGCTATGAGAAAAGTGGGAGACTCCTAGTATCCAGCATTTAGGACTGCATATTTTTGGTGCCAAATATCACTCAAACTTCAAAGTGCAAATATAGCATTGTTTCTTTTTAGGTTGTTGAAAATTTGGTCAAAGTTCGAAGGTCTATTTGCGCCAAAAGCGTTTAAGGACCAGTTCGTTTTAAACGTATCATTTAAGTCTTAGGGCTTCGACGAATAACCTAATTAACCCTTCTGATACAATTTAAGGAAACTCGAATAAAGACAGTAGTTGAAATGGTAATTAATTTACCACTCCTTTATCAATAATAATTAAGTTATTTTGTCGAATTTCGTGTACCAGATTGCCTTTTAAGTTTTTGCGTAAGCGTTATAACTATCCCGTTTACTGAATCAGGAAATCGATATAACTCCAATAATCGAAATGTTTGTCAAAAGTGTCTGTTTCTGGCTGTCAGGACAGGAACAATTATACATGAGTAAACTTTTCCATTGGTTATTGAGTTTTTTCCACCATATTTTATTACATGCGAATGGAACTCAGCGCAGGACAGATTAATTGTTTTCTCTTGTAAAAGGTAATAAAATCGATCGACTTGTTCTAAAATTTATGCTTTGGGAACTAAGTGTAACCCTTAAATTAACCACCAACGATTCTATTACGGGCCATATGGAAGTTTATAAGTCGGTCAATGCATGAGTCATCAGCCATGCGCATACACATGCCTTGACCCCGTTAACACCCCTCTGGGGTTTCTCTTATCGGTCAAGAAGTAATTTGGCCCCTGCGGTTTAATTTAATTACCCTTTCTTGCAATGAAATGCAGACATAAACCTCAAGTGTGCTAAAACACTGATAGTGGTGGAATCAGTGTGCATAAAAGTCAGCGCGCGTTAACAGCTGCGCATACAAAGCTTGCACATGTCTCAAGGTTTTTACTTCGTTGAAGAAAAAGTCGAGGCAATGAATGAATTTTCACTGGATCTCTACCCTATCAGTGGCCTCCTTTTTAAGCGTGCGGTGTGCTACCAGCCCAGTTAGTGTTTTTTTCGCTGCATATGGACAAAAAGAGATAGCTAGAGAGGAAGAGTGAGAGAGGGTGAAGGAAAAAAGCTTGTGGGAAGTCATTACAATTAAATTGGCCGAATATCCGCTCATGTGCACTTCTTGCTACATTTCTTCTTCTGTTTTTACCTATTCCCATAAATTAACGAGTAAATTAAAATATAAAATGTGATAGTACATTAGTAGACACGCTTCGCTATAAATACCACTACCGATAGAAGTGTGGAAAATATTCAGTTAATAGCTTCTAAACACGCGAAATAGCAGAATAGTTCAATTGAGATGAAGCCAGGTAGAGAAGGGTGGGGAGGGGGGGGTTGGTTGTCAAGTGAAGGGGTATAAATAGTGTTTCATCTTTTCTTGAAAAGAATCTGGACGAAGATGTGTCGACGAATGGTAGTAAAGCACATCACTATGAGCATTTAACCCACACGTGCATTCACGTCGGCTAAGAAGGTCCTGCTTAAAAAAGGCCAATTAGGATATGCGCTTATTTTACTGGAATGAGAAGGGAAGGAGAAGAAAGCGGAGAAAAGAAGTTGACATTAGCGCATTCCGACTTCCGAAACCAACATAGAGGTAGAAAAGGGGGGAATTACTTGTTAACATGATAAGATGCTAAAGTTATTCCCTTTTTTTCTTTTTCTATTCCTTCTGCACTCTACATGTTAGGAGGACCTCTTTTTTCCGCTATGCGCATAATTTACAACTTCCGCGCCGCGAATTATTTAATGGCATATTAAAATCATTCCATAAAGAATGAGAAAGATTAATTCGTTTGGCAAGGAAGGAGACAAAAAATAATCACCCGTATTAATCAAATTTTGACTTCGCTGAGAATTTTCTCCATTTATTCTCCATCATAATAGCATTACGGCTGTCAGTTGATTGTTTACCAACATTATTTTGATGAAATTCGACAATATATTCTAATAAAAATGATTCTTGACTGTCCTGAACTTCGAGTTTTGGAATTTGAATCAAATGCTAACACAGCATAGTTATCACCATCCTATTGGCTAGCCATTACCCAATAATATCATATGGTGAGCACGGCTAAAGTGCAGATCAATAATTCTATTATGTTCATTTCAGCGCCAAAACGTAAGCCAATTTAACTAGGAAAATAAAATGCGCGTGTTGATTTAAAGTGAGCATGATGGCTGGAAGAAAGAAAGTTTGTTCTTTTTCTATTCTAACAATTACTGTAATTTGAAAATTTCGTTTAAATCTGCCTAAACAAACTCATACGTGAATACTGGTGCGCGCTCATCTCTCAAAATTGACGCGAAGGAGATGGAGGAGGGAAAACGCTGAAAAGTTAGAGGGGAGGAGAGCTAAAGAAAGAAGAAGATGGAAGTTTTATCTCACTGTAAATCTTAGTGAGGAGCGGTTTTTCCCCCCACGTACACACCCTCAACCCATCACATACCACAACTACGGAGTTTCTTGACTCTTCTTTGGCTGTTTTTTGCTCTTTTGCTTTTTCTGGTAGCTTACCTCATCTTTACTCTGTCCCGGCTATTAGTGTATGCTCAATCCCTTGAGGCTACGAAGACGACATACTTTAGCGTGATGCGACCAATGACACTGGGTGGCAGAGTAGTCTCTAGAGCAAAAAAAATATACGTGTGTGTATCTACGTTTTTTTCTCTACTTACTG